AATAATTCGAGTTTGGCGGGCAATTTTCAACCGTGTTCGTAACGAACTATTTCACACCGCGCACGATAATTACAATAATTGCATCTTTATATAAACTCGACGCAAGCTTATAATTTTCGGTATCGCGCGTAATTATCATTATCGGGAAGAAACTTTGTTGTTATTACGCATTTATACGAGAGGAGCGAAATTCTACGTGCAAGAATAAACGTTATTACGCATAATCGATCCGTCTATTATCCAATATATATATATATATATATATATATGTATAATATACATCGGGATAAAAATGAGGCGCGAATTCGTCGATTCTTCGCACCGTGTCGAAAGAACGTTAATCAATGGAGACGGGCAGACGGGTGGAACGGCCAATTCTTTCCCTCCCCTCCCGAAAAGTGCATAAATCGTGAGGCTATTTCTGATATTCTCCACCCTCGGCGCGTGTACACAACATTTAGCAACCGAGATAAATTGCATTAATTCGAGGGTCAATGTGATCGTTTCTTTAATCACGCGATCCACAACAACACGCCGCCTCGATGGGACGACCCCGTATTTCGCGGTATTTCACATTTATCGCTCCCATAAACGAGGATACGCAGACACTCGGCCAATAATCTCTCTCTTTCTCTTTCTTTTTTTTTTTAAAGGCTGCCGCGAGGATTAACGAGGCGACGAATCGGGCGTAAATCACAAGGTTGGACGGCTGATACGAGACAATCGTGTCTCGTATTTTAATCGTTTATGAATTATCGCGAAGCGGGGGGAGGACATCGTGGAGCGTTTTATTTTCGACGGGCAAATTTTCTCGCCTCGTTTCACGTTTCTTCGACGAACGAGTTAAAGATCAATCGATTGATCTCGGAATTGTTCGAATCGATTCTAAAATTTCGAAAAATCATCCATCCAGGTATGTGGATAGGTGATACGAAACGGAACGACTCAATACTTGCGATGGTTGGAGAGATAATTGAAGATTCTGGTCGCTCGCGAGCGCACCCAGCCAACCACAATATTTCTAAACTCGTTGTAATTATATCTCGTCCCGAGAAATTACGTATCTCGTATATATCCTTTTTTCTAATTGCACACCCTGTAAACCTGTTCCTGTACAAATTTGCATCGTCCAAGAACCGCGATCTTTCCACTCGATGCCGTGGAAACATTTTTATAACGACGAAAGTTTTTCCCTTTTCACTCGGAGGAGGAGGAGGAGGAGGAGGAACGAGTCCAACTCTCGTTCGATCCGAGGAGAGAAATAGATCGAATCCAAAGTTCGAATCGAAGCGTTCTCTTGTTCCCAAAGCTTCGCCATCGATTTCTTCCTGCCTCGTGTTTCTAAACGCGCGTAATCTTCGTAAAACGGTTGTCGAGCGAAGAGGTTCGAAACAGCTTTACGATACTTGCCATCCTCAAAATTGCAATCGTAAACGTTCAACCTCACCCACGACCGCAACATTACGACTCAATAACGTTTCTAACCAACTTCTGCAACTTTGCAATTTGCCACTAAAGTCGTTTGTTGTTGCTCCTTATCGATTCCCGTGTGCCTCGACGAATCGAATCCCTCCCTCCTCCGAGTTGAAATCTTTCTAAATTTCCTCCTCGCGCGTAAAATCTTCCGCGTGCCGTATATATTCCCGCTATCTTTACAATCCGCTCGCAGTACGCGTGCAGTCGTACGCGCCACGACCCAACCCTTGAACATTGATTTAAGTTACTTCGATGTTGCTCGAAACACGATAATAATAATTGGAAATAATCGTGACGCGAAATGTTATAAGAAAAGCGGATCGAATAAATGTTATTTCGATAAGTAATTGCTTAAAGTAAGCTTTTATTCGTTTATTTTTAACTGGTTTTTCAACTCTGCTCTTGAAACATCTCGAATGTATCCGTGAAGTAGTAATGGCTCGAGTTACGAATAAAGTTACTTTCAATCGTTTATCATTCAAAACGTAACGAGTCGAGGTTACACGAAAAACGGATCAACTTTACTATACATTTTCAACTAAGTAACTTTTTCGACGTTGAATAATTTTCAAATCTGGCCTTGAAACATCTCGAATGCGAAGTAATGGCTCAAGTTGCGAATAAAGTTACTTTCAATCGTTTATCATTCAAAACGTAACGAGTCGAGGTTACACGAAAAGCAAATATCACTATCATTTTCAACTAAGTTAACTTTTTCGACGTTAAGTAATTTTCAACTCTGGCCTTCGAAACGTCTCGAGTATACGCGAGAAAAAGAAAGCGAAGCAATCGATATTCGTAAACGAAAATTTAATAGTTAAAGTTAACTTCAATAAATTACTTTCAATCATTCATTATTCAAAACGTAACGAGTCGAGGTTACACGAAAAGCGGATCGACTATACGATTTCCAACTAAATTTTCTCTTCGATGTTAAATAATTTTCAACTCTGGCCTTGAAATATGACCTCGAATATACCCGTGAAGTAATGATTGAAATTACGAATAAAGTTACTTTCAATCATTTATTTACGACGAATCGAGATTACACGAAAAGCGGATCGACTATTTTCAACCAAGTTCACTCTTTCTACGTTAAATAATTTAACCGTCTCGAGCGGGAACACAAGAAAGGGGAGAAAAAAAGGCGAACGCGGTGGTCGATTTGGGCGCCGTAAGGTGGAGTGGCCGCCGCGATGCCTTTTGCCCTCGGATTTTTCCGCGGAGCGGAGCCGGTAAACGCTGTGATTAGAGCCGATGAAGAGCCAGGGCCGCTTCCGCTCGTCTGGAAACGAGTTGCCATAAAGCGGACAGCGAAATCACAGCGCGGTGAAAACGTAATGCTCGGATGGGCCGGTCGGGCTGGTTCCGCGTAATGCGCGATGCTCATTTACCTTCGCGCCGAGCGGTTAATATTTCACCCCGCGTTGGCCCCGAGATCGCCTCGCCAACACGACGACGAAACGAAATTGCTGGCCGAGGGGGGAGCGGTGCAATTACGACGCGATAACGAGAGCGCAACTCGAGACCTTTCTGCTTCCGCTTCTCTTCTTCGAAAGTCGAAACGTTCTTTCCACTCGACGCGAAAAAGAAAAAAAAAGAATAGAATTTAACCGAAAGTTCGGATCGAACTTTAATCACGCGACCAACGCAAGTTATCCGATATTAAAGTCTTAATTATAACGTGTAATGTATCGTCGCGCGTAATATTACTTGGTTTAATCGATTATTAAATTAAGAAAATTATCGGAATGTATCGGGAATATATCGTTGCTCTCGTCGTCCACGAGAGTTGGTAAACGACTGAGCTCGAGGGCAAATTTTCCCTCGATATTTATATTTCTTCGCCGAGCAATTAAATTCTAGGAAATATATACATACATATATATATACATGTACGCATACCTGTTATTGGCACGGCTACGCTCCTCGCTTTATAACGCCTCGCTATTCCCTTCTACTTTTCATAATTCCACTTGGAAAATAAATAGAATCGATGTTTCCAGATTATTTATAAATTAATAAGATTTTCATTTATTATTACCCGTTAATTACTATCGTCGATTATTAAATCGTCGAATATGTATATATATATATATATATATATATATATATATATAT